CTGGGGGTGGTCTTGGCTCATGGGTGTCCCTTGGGAACCCCAAGGAGATGGAGCTGCATCCTCCCCGCGGGCGAATCGTGAATTCACGCGATGGGAACAGCCCAGTTCTTGGGGGGCTCAAGGAGCTGGATGGTTTTTCTCTTCCCGCAGGTGCTGGAGCGCTCCCGGGATGTGGTAGATGATGTTAGTGTGTCCTTGCGGCTCTGGGACACCTTTGGTGACCATCACAAAGACAGACGCTTTGCCTATGGCAGGTAGGGGAAGGGCAGAGCCTCGCACCGCCCTGGGCAGGGAGGGAGGGCGATGCCGAAGCACAGCAGAGTGGGCTCCATCATCAAGCTGGACTTCCATCCTCCTGTCCTCGCAGGTCTGACGTTGTGGTTCTGTGCTTCTCCATCGCTAACCCCAACTCCCTGCACCACGTGAAGACCATGTGGTACCCGGAGATCAAACACTTCTGTCCCCGCGCGCCCGTCATCCTGGTGGGCTGCCAGCTTGACCTGCGCTACGCCGACCTGGAGGCCGTCAATCGGGCACGGCGTCCCTTGGCCAGGTGGGACTCTTGTGCCCCGATGTCCATACTTGCCCCAATGTCCATACTGGCCCAATGCTTTGTCCTTACCATGCGTCTGAAGAGGTCTCTTCATGATCTCCCCATCTTTTTCAGGCCAATCAAACCCAACGAGATCCTTCCCCCGGAGAAGGGGAGGGAGGTAGCCAAGGAGCTGGGGATCCCCTATTACGAGACGAGCGTGGTGGCCCAGTTTGGCATCAAGGACGTCTTTGATAATGCCATCCGTGCCGCCCTCATCTCCCGCCGTCACTTGCAGTTTTGGAAGTCCCACCTCCGCAATGTGCAGCGACCCCTGCTCCAAGCCCCTTTCTTACCCCCCAAACCTCCTCCACCCATCATCATCGTCCCCGACCCCCCTTCCAACAACGAGGAACGCCCAGCCCACCTCCTGGAGGACCCCCTGTGCGCGGACGTCATCCTGGTGCTGCAAGAGAAGATCAAAATCTACGCACACAAGATCTACCTCTCCACCTCCTCCTCCAAATTTTACGACCTGTTCCTCATGGACCTGAGCGAGGAGGACCAGCAGAGCGCCGCAGGGCACAGCTTCGGGGTGGCCGTCACCGCGGCCGCCGAGCGGATGCTGCACCAAGAGGAGAGGCACCACGGGCGGGATTTTCTCCTCCGAGCTGCTAGCTTTGATATCTGCGAAAGCACCGAGGAAGCCGGATCCGGCCAACGAAAACCGTGCCTTAGAGCTTCCACCAGTGATGGGATCCTACGGGGCAACCGCTACGAGAACGGAGAGCGTGGGCTGCGGCGGGGAAGGGACCTCTCCTCTTGGAGCCGGGCTTTCACCAGCATCCAGGAGGAGATGGCAGAAGATCCGTTGACCTACAAGTCCAAGCTGATGGTGGTGGTGAAGATGGATGCTTCCATCCAGCCGGGTCCTTTCCGGGCCGTGTTGAAATACTTGTACACGGGGGAGCTGGATGAGAACGAGCGGGACCTCATGCACATCGCTCACATCGCTGAGCTGCTGGAGGTCTTCGACCTCCGCATGATGGTGGCCAACATCCTCAACAACGAGGCGTTCATGAACCAGGAGATCACCAAAGCCTTCCACGTCCGAAGGACCAACCGGGTGAAGGAATGCCTGGCCAAGGGGACTTTCTCGGGTACGACTCCGGGCCGAGGGGGACCGCCGTCCGCAGCATCTCCTGTCCCTTGGGGGTTCTGATGGATGGATGGGGGGGTTTGGAGCTCCTGGTCTTGCCCCGTGCATGAGCAGGGTGGTTGTGCCGTGAGTCAGCAGCCGCTCACTCACCCTCCCCGGGGGTTTTTGACCACATTTTGCAT